AACTTAACTTCCTCAAAAGGCGCTCCTCCTCAATATTTAAACCTTTACCCCCTGGACGCTCTTTCCTCTAGGAAAGTCCTTATTGGCCAACACATGGCTCAACCAATTAGAAATTGCAACATCAGCAATTAAACAAAAGAGAGGGAAGGAAAACAAAAGGAAAACGTTTCCCCCCTGAACGCTCTTAACTCTAAGAATAATCTTATTGGTCAACGCGCGGTTTAACCAATCAAACAATTACAACTATAACAATTAGACAAAAGAAAAGGAAGGGAAGGATGAGTCGAGCAGCGATCCCCTCTATCCGAGAATGAATAAAAATATCAATAATTAATTACCAAAATCTGAACTGATCTGCGGATCGCTACACTACTAAAAATTTATATAAAATTTACTTTATTTTCTAATATGTAACATTCTATCATGTTAAACTTTCGCCGCACGTCTCTAAAGACAGCTAAACCCGAATGATTCTAGTTCTTGGTGTAGCGCTGCATAACAATTAAAAATAGAACTAACACTAGACGACACTTAGCCGTGCGTCATTGAACCCGATTGTTTCTAGTTCTAAGTCTAGTGTTAGTTTTAGCTTTACACTAGCGCTGTTACTATGTAGAACTAACACTATACCTAGAATCATTTGGGTTTAGCCGCATGTCTCTAAAGACGGTTAAACCTAAATGATTCTAGTTTTAGGTATAGTGTTAGTTCTAGTTTTACACTAGCATTGTTACTATGTAGTACTAACACTATACCTAAAACTAGAATCATTTGGGTTTAGCCACACATCTCCCGAATGATTCTAGTTCTTGGTCTAGCGCTGTATAACAATTAAAGCTAGAACGAACACTAGACCTAAATCTAGAAAGTTTTGGGTTTAGCCGTGCATCCTCAAATGCACGGCTAAACCCGAGTGTTTCTAGTTCTAGGTCTAGTGTTAGTTCTAGTTTTACACTAGCATTGTTGCTATGTAGAACTAACACTATACCTAGAACTAGAATCATTAGGGTTTAGCCGCACGTCTCTAAAGACGGCTAAACCCGAATGATTCTAGTTCTAGGTCTAGTGTTAGTTCTAGTTTTACACTAGTATTGTTGCTATGTAGAACTAACACTATACCTAGAACTAGAATCATTAGGGTTTAGCCGCATGTCTCTAAAGACGGCTAAACCCGAATGATTCTAGTTCTCTATTTAGTTAAGTGTTAGTTCTAGTTTTACACTATCACTAGAACTAACACAAGACCTAGAACTAGAATCATTGCAGTTTAGTCGTAATGAGAGACGCTTTACTTAGCTTTTAACTTTTTTAGGACAATCCGATGTTGATTTAAGTGAAACTCAATGTATCGTGACTAATTTAATATACGAAGGAAAAATTAAGGGGTACATTTCGGAATAACATCGGAAAGTTGTTGTTAGTAATAAAATGCTTTTCCTATGTTATCTAGGATGTTATAAAATATAGTTTTTGTTTCGTGATTAATAGTTTTATTCTTTTTAAAAGATAATCCTAATTTTTAATTTAAATTCCTTTAAAATATGGATCTCACAACTTTTGTGTGTAACAATTAATATGTTCATAAAAGTTTCTTAAATATGGTTAATATCATTCTAATATATGGTTTTTATATAAAATTTGTCTGGTTTGAGATTTGAGAAAGATTTTTTTAGTTTTTTTTTGCTAAATGTTAAGTGTATTAAAATACATTGTAAGAGGAAAACATATAGAGGAAAATTAACGGTGAAAAATTTTGGATTAATGGTCCATTTAATTGGACTGAAGACTGAAACATCAATTTCTAACTTAATATTTGTTGTACATGTTACTGGAAAAGTCCGAATAACGGCAAATCTTAAGTTTACCTAGTAAATTTTAAGATTTACCAACATGAGTTGGTAAATGTGAGGATGTGAGGACTTCTTCAGAAACAATTAACTAACGTTTATAATCTAGCAAGGACAAATAGGATTTATGAATTTTTAATCATTTTCCTACCCGCTTCGATACATTGTCTTTAGTTCTTAATTCTTAGAATACTATTTAAGACTGATTATTGGGTCAGTTTTAGCTCTGTCAATGTTTTACATTTTGGCCAACTTATTGATATTTATTTGCTGACGTTGCTTTCATTTTTTCAGCTTGGTTTTTCAAAATGAATTTTGAATTTTTTCTTATTGCCAGGATAGATTATTTCTTTTTCAATATTGGCTCTTCAGTTATAAAAACTTCTTGAGATTGAGTTGCATTTTCTATTGAATTTAATAGTCATTTCGTCTAGTTGTCTTTTACTCTTCACAGTGTTTCTGTTTATGTCCTTTTTAGGTTATCTTCCTTATTTTGTTTAATGGCATTTTCGACGTTAATATTTTGTTCTATATTTTTTTGCGCATGCAATACATTTTCTAAATCTTCTTTCTCAGATGTTACTGTTTCAAGCATGTCTCTAGGTACTGCTGACCTTGTAATGTCCATGAACATTTTATTCTCTCGTGATATGCTCTATTTTTCATTGGCTAGATGAATTTCAAACCCTCTGACTACTTTGTTAACTGCTTTGTTTCCATCCACGTGCTCAACACATTTTCGATGTCTTGATTGGCCCGCTCTACTGATCCTTGACTCTGACTGTGTCTGGGCTTTCCATGTACTATTTTAACGTTCGGGTCACATAGGGCATAAACTTTCAATAACTTGGTTACAAAATTTTTGACCACTATCGGAATGAAGGATGTTTGAAGCTCCAAAAGTGGTGGAAATATTCAAAAGATGGTTTGCAACTTCTGCTACGCGTTTAGATTAAAGTGCACGAAGAATCACAAATTTAATGAGATAATCTTGGTAAACTAAAATGCATTTATAATTTCCATCAGGGTTAGTTTGTAGATCTATTAGATCTATTTGACAACGTGAGTTCACTCCACTATGATAAGTATAAGCTTGAAACATAATATTCGCATTTGTATTGGCGTTTATTTGGATTAAACGTTGAATTTTGTGTACCATGTGATAAGTGAGGATTTAAATTGTGAGGGTCCCTCGAGTCTGGTCTTGATTTGTGTTGGCTTTCTACGTTGAACTGTGACACCAGACTCGAGTGACCTCTTGGGATTCTACAGCTTATATTTTATAAGCGTTTGTTCTTGTACTCAGGTATGTTATTATTAATTTTGTATTCCTATAAAAATATTAATTTTTTGGATTTTATTCAGAGTGTGGTGTAATAAACATGTTTTTTTTTGGAAATTTGGCATTTAATTCGTCCACCATTATCCCGAAAACCACATCCCACGGAATTTTCCACAACAAGCTTGATGACCTTTTTCAGTCTTCTGTTTTTTTTTTGACAAGGTTACTATAGCTTTAAATATGTGATAATAGCTTCAACTGTTGCATTTTTATACTTCCGTTTACATTCCTTAAGAATTGTTGTGCTTCTATCGTGTCCAACAGCAACATACGATTCTTCGAGAATGTTAAATAA